ACTTTAGATCTAGGCTTATTAAAGTGCATTAGGCCATAAAGTTGCCAAGTTTATGCTTTCGTATGTCTCAATGGGGCAAATCTTAGATTTAACCACATTATCTTCATTAAACCACCTTCAATCCTTGCATAATTGAATTTAATCCATCAAGACTCCATTTTTATGCTCAAGGGATGATAGAAACACTAGAATCTAACATTATAACCTTCTGTAGTAGCTCATACTCTCGCAAAATATCTTAAGGACCATTTTATGGAGAAATAAGCCCTAAACTAACAACTAATACATGGAGTCATCAAGGTAGAAGCTTTTTACCTTCAATAAGCTAGAAATGATGAGAAACCTCTAGATCTACAAGCTCTTTATGACCCAATGCTTCTTCACAACTCTTCTTCTTCTTCTTCTATAAGCACCACACACACACCCAAAACACACACAACCAAGCTTAAACTTAAAGGGAAATGGATTATGGTTTCAAGATATGACTCAAGAGGAAAATGAGGCTGATAAGGTGGTGAACTTGAAGGACTTAATGAGCTTAAATATGCTGCAAACCCTAAAAATTAGGGTTTGCCTCTGGCTTGAGTACACCCTGCATATGTATGGGTATGCCCATCATACGTAGGGTCATCCCTGATGCACACATGCAAAGGAGCACGTTATGCGTACCTAGTGTATGCCCAATGTACTCATGGTCTAGTCATTGATTAATTAAAATAATGGTTAAAGTTTATACCTAGCGACTCGGGCGTCACAACACATTAACCATTTTTTTTGTAAATTGGTCAAAATTTCCACCTCCATATCCTTACAAAAAGCTACTATTAGAAATCCAAGGATTATATTGTTGTGGGTGTGTGTAACTACATAGAATTGAAATCATGTTGATCTTTGTTTTATGGTTCCTACTTCATGTGTAAATTCCTTAGTGAATGGGGACTACCTAAAAATAGTGAACAAGAATGCAGGAGCCTGAATTTTGACTTTGTAACATCTAAAAAATCAAGGTAAAATTTTCATTTTTAAAATACAACCAAAAACCATAATTGTTTACAAAACATAGCTCCTAAAAGTAATAATCACAAATCAAAGTATCCCAAAATCAAATATCATAAAATCAGAAGAATATGCATGTTCACACCTTTGCTTTTCCCCGATCATCTAAAGTACCTGAAACATAAAACTTAAAGTGTAAGCCAAAGCTTAGTAAGTTTCCCCCAAATACCACACAATAGAACATATACAAATAATACATATTGGATCCACAACCTTCCAGTTGGATTATCCATGGCCCACAACCTTCCGGTTGGATTGTCCTTGGCCCACAACTTCATGTTTGGATTGCCACTGGCCCACAACCTTTCGATTGGATTGCCCGGGTTTGTTAACTGGCAGCACAAAGCAGTACAGTCTCAAACCAACCACACTATGTCGACATGCATACCATATAAAACACATAACAACAACCAAATAATCATACAGATCTTAATATAACACTACAACATAACAACATTCTAAACCAGAATCTACAATCTACTGGGTTGGAATGGGCGCCTTCGACCTACAAGTATAGTGAGGAAAACTCAAATCACAAATCTGAAAAGATAGTAGAAACAAATGTTGATCCAAAGCCAACTCTACAGGTCACCTATACAACAAACAGTCAAAATACCTAAATGCCCTTAGGTCAAACTCCAAGTCAAAGGCTCAACAAGTCAAAAATCAAGGGAAGGTCAAGCTGGTTGAGTATGGTCTGCGTACTCAGCTGTTACGTTGGGAGTAGTCAAAGACTAATCAGACCATCTAGGCTTTAGTTCAGTACACGCAACATACCACTTAGTATGCCCGACATACTACGCCTGAACCCATTTTCTTTTCAAACGTGCTTATTCCATTAAAGTCTCCCATCCTAACACATATCTAGACTCAACACATTGTTCTAAGTCATAAAGTTGTTTATGACTTTCCGTGGCTAGACAAGGCCCAAAAGCAAAAACCTTAACTTGATAATCCATTAAGACATCACAACACTTTGCGTGGAAGGAAAAGAAGGACCAAGATCACATTTTTATGATCCCTAACACCTAAAAACATCTGAAAGGACAACTCTCCTGGTTAGAGTAACCCACACTCATGAACACCAAGCTTATGGGACCAAAATGAACATAAACTCAAGGCTAAAAAGATCTAAGCAAATAACTTACCAAGATCTGACCTTTATACCTCCAAAGGGTGCTTGAGGGTGAGATACTTTTACATCAAGATGGTCTTGAGCTTCAAAGGTGTATCCACCTCCTTCTTCCTCTTTCAAGAACACAAAAAACACACTATTAGGCTCAAGAATGCCCACAAGAACGGATTAGGGTTTGCAAGGTCCGAAATGGGATTGGATACTAATGAGGGAAGGAGTATTACGGAATTAATGATGCTTAAATAGTGCTCAAACCCTAAAAATTAGGGTTTGCACTTTACCAGGTGCACCCAACATACCAAAACGTACGCCCAATATATGCACAAAGTAGCGTGTTTACTTATGGAGCCATGGGACTATTTTTGAAATTAAATTCCATACTTTGGGTTAAAAAAATAAATTACTTGAATCATAATTCATCCTCAAAATCCGGTGCTGCGAATAACTTTGGGTAGTGCTCCCACATCTCTGCCTCGGGTTCCAAAGTCCATTATGAACTCTTCTGATGCTACCACTGGACCTTGACCAAAGATACCACCTTGTTGCACAAGGCGTTTATCTTCCTATCCATGATTTCCATTGATCTCTTGACATAGTTCAGGCGATCATCAACCTGAATATCATCCAAAGGAGCAACTGTTGAGTCATCAACCACATACTTATGGAGTTGAGAAACATGGAAGATATTGTGAATCCAACTGAGCTTCTTAGGAAAATCCAACCAATAAGCTACAATGCCTACCCTACCTAATACTCGAAACGGCCTTATATATGGGGGGCCCATATTTCCCCTCTTCCTGAAGCGTATTACACCCTTCCATGGTGATACCTTCAGTAAAACCATGTTGCCGACCTGGAACTCCAACTCGGATCGACGTCTGTCCGCATAGCTCTTCTGCCGAATTTGGTTTGTCTACAACCTCTTCCTGGTCTGTTGAATATGCTTTGTCGTCTGAAGGACTACCTCAGTCTTTCGCATGACGCTGTGACTAACCTCTCCCCAACAGACTGGGGTATGGCATTTCCTTCCATAAAGAAGCTCAAACGGCAACGCAACATTACTGGAGTGATAGTTATTGTTGTAAGAAAACTAGGCAAGGGGAAGGTAGGAGTCCCAAACCCCATCGAAATATATGACACAAGCTTTCAACATATTCTCAAGTGTCTGAATGGTCCGCTCACTATGGTCGTCCGTCTGCAGATGATAAGCAGTGCTAAAGTGCAACCATGTACCCAGTTCATCGTAGACCCTCTGCTAAAATCGAGAAGTGAAGCAACCATATCTATTAGATACAATGGAAAATAGAACACCATGTCGAGCGATGATCTTGCGTACGTCAACATCAGCCAATTTCTTGGCCAAGAGCTCTCCTGAATGGCTAGAAAGTGGGCACTCTTTGTCAGATGGTTCACTATAACCCATATCACATCCAATCCCTTAGCCATCCAAGGTATCTTGGTGATAAAATCCATGGTGATCTGTTCCCATTTCCACATAGAAACCTCCAAAGGCTGGAGTTTTCCATTTGACCTCTGGTGCTCGGCCTTGACCATCTGATAGGTCAAGCACCTCTCAACATACAAGGCTATCTCCCTCTCCATACATGACCATCAGTAATTAAGTCATAAATCCCCGTTGGTCCCAAGCCCTTAGTAATTAACTCACTAAGTTTGTGCTTACAATTTTATTGAATGTTTCAGGTACTTCCAGTGATAAGGGCAAGGGCTCGGCTTGATGGCGTGGCATGCATTCTCTAGTGTTTTCACATTTAGTTTTCATACTTTAAACTTTAAATTAATATGGCTATGTAATGGGATTGTTGGACACATTGTGGTTGATATTTATGAAATTAAAAGTTAAAATTTTATGTAAAAATTTGGGTTGTTACAAATCACGCCCCAACTAGTCAATCCAAGAGCTAGACCTAGAATAGAAAAAACTATCGATATCCTGATACTTAACTAACAATGTAGATGCCTCCAAGGCACCAAAAAATATGCAATGAAAAGAAAATTTGTAGCGAACAAGTATCTACGTACTTACGTTCAAATGGAAAATAAAAACGGACTGATCAACCGGGCCACCCAACACAAAACCAGTGAGAAAAACACAATCATAGGCCTCAAGGGCTCATCACTTCTCTCTAATAAACATGTCGACAAGGTTAGGGGAGTTAAACTCCTAATCACAACAAGTAGGAGGCCTTAAAGGATGATAACATTTCCCTCAAAATGCATAATGCCTAAGCTCATAGACCTCGATATGATGATCTCGGTCTTGCTTAGACGACTAGGTCCGGAGTACAACTCCCCTTGACCCAGGGCTTAAATCCCGAAAGCGAAGGCCTTTAGCTAGGAAAAAAGCCCTAACGGAACAGACCAGCCAGAGTTCGCACTGACATGCTAGCTAAAGCCTCGACTCACAGAAACCAACCTAAGGGGGAGCACTAAGCCCATCAAATCAGATGTCTTAATCCCCCCAAAACTTGTTAAACAAATGATAACCGTGACCAAGACCCCCAAAGGCCAACACTAACCTCTGGGGAGATTCCAAACCAAGGTTGGCCAACACAAACCATCTAAGACGACAAAAAATGGGGGAAGAAACGTGATGAACTAAAAGCAAACTTAACATACAAGAAACAAATAGAACATATTGTTTAACCTGGTTAACCCCCTAGGATTTGAAAACGACCACGCAAGGCCAAAAGAGAAAATTAGACATTGTTTTGAAAATTGTTCCACAAACACCATGAAGATGCAGCATCACCTTAAACATTAAACAACAAAAAAGGGTAAAATCCATCACTTAGTTAGGAGTGGAGGAAGGTCCAACCTGAGAAGAGCCACCTTCAAGATGGCCTTCCTCAGAGTTAGGATCATCGCACATCTGGCGAAGGCCCCCTATGTCCAGCTCACCCAGGCGAAGGTAGGAGGCAAAATTTGTCTCCATGAAAGATTTTATAGCAGCATGTATCGCCTGAGCATGCTTCGCAGTAGCGTCCATTTCCCCGAAAATAAGCTTTCTGGTGGCAACCTGCTCCTGAATCACCTGTTTTCCATTTTCTACACTGGCAATCAAACATGCCATCTTCATCCGCTTAACCCCCAACGCAAACTCATTACTCTCAAAAATCTTATCCACCACCTGGACAATGCCTTTCTGAAGCAACCACCCTAAATCCTCATATGCAACCTTCCTCCTCGCAATATCCTCCTCCAACCTCTTGTTAGTGCAATTCGGTTGGTTCTCCAGCACTCCCTTCTCCTCTACTAAAACCTCGATTCGTTGAAAAAAAATGTTCTACCAATCCATCTAAAGCAGTCATATTGTCCTCCAAAGACGCTTTCTCCCTTGCCAAAAGATCATAGCACTCCTTGAACGACCGCTTCTCCCTTTCTAACTCCAGCAGACTCACTTTCAGTTCATCTCGCTCGGCCTTAATCAAAGCAAGCTTACTGGAGCTAGAGTCGGTCTGACGAAGGTGAGAGGCAGTCGCCACCATGTACGAACCAACTTGTGCATCTTTATATAAAAGGTCATTCGAAAGATGTGAGTTAGAGAGAAGCTCCAAGGCCTTAATGGTAGTAAGGGGGAAAGCATAAGAACCCTAATCATATGTCGTTGAGTGTTGGAAAAGACGAGATACCCGGGTTATCCCCCATGATGGCACATATATGGTCGGTTCTACCAGAGGAACAGAAGCAGAGCCCTCGACGGTACCCTCCCCAGTCAGAAGAAGGACCAGCGAGTTGAGAACACATTCACGAGCAACATCTGAGGTAGTAGTTTCCACTGGCTCCTCTTTAGGTTCACAGGGCAGTTCAGTCGCCCCTTCTCTCATCCCTTCCGACTATTTTGGAGTGTCATCATCGGGGATGTCAACCACTACCGTGTCCTCCCCCAAAAGTAAGTCCACATTTCGCCTCTTTAGCAGGCGCCGACCTGAGGAGCTGGCCTCAGCAGACTCTGCAAGTGGCGAATCCAGCCAGGAAAGCCGTCATTTGGAGGTCGTATGGGTGTTATGTCGAGTCAGTTCGGTCGACGTTTCCTCTCTTTCCATATTAGAAGGCAAAGGGTCCTCACGAGAAACACCACCGACAGGCACATCAATCAACACCTGACCAACGAGAGAATCAGACCTGAGCGAAGAGGCAACAAGAGGACCGACAAGGGCCAAGTCACAGTCGAGACTGACCGGTGGAGGGGGTGTCTCAACCAAGGGCACTTCTCAATATTAACAGGTGCCCTGAAAGCGGCCCCTCAGCACCATCTCAAAGGGAAGGATCCTCTTGTGACCTACAAACAAGAATGGAAAAACATAATCGAAACTCATATGTTACAGGAGTTGTGGGTTGGGGTGGAATGGGATGAACATACAGGTCCTTGTAATTCAATATTAATAAAAAATTTAGTTAGGATTAAAAAAACCTTAAAATGCTATAAAAGTTTTTTAGATGCTCATGGACCAATCATGCAATAAATATAAACCATAAGGATTATCTGCAAAAAAAAAAATTATGAAATATTGAATTTATGGCTTTTGGTAAACTACACCATTCATTTAAAGTAATTTTGTCTTATATTTTTTATATATCAATAAATAGATGTTTTCATATCACTTTCAACCTCTTTATTTTGTAAAAAAAATTATTTTTAACAATTTGCTTTGTAAAATATTGTTTTTACACTTAAGCTTTGAGTGTTCTAAAATGTAATTTTCATCCATTTCCTTTTCTGAATTTTTTGTGTTTACCTTTTAGTATTATAATGTGAATTTCCTATGGTTGTTTCAAGTTTATAAAATATCACTTTCACTTTTCAGTTTTCTAAATGTTAGTGTTTATCCTACCCACCAACAATTGTCATCTATTAACTTTGTAAAATATCACTTTAACCCCCTTGAATTTGAACTTCGTAAAATGTCATTTTTACCCCATCACCGTCTAAACTTTTGTTACAGTCCGTAATATATATAATGTGATTTTTCTTAATAAATTGTGTTCATTAACTGTAAAAAAATTAGGTGCTTATTTTTATGTATGAGTTAGTATAAATTCGAGGTGGCATTTCGATGTAAATTTAGAAATTTCATTCGTTAACATTTTTTAAACAAAAATTACTTGCTTTTTTTATTAAATGCGGTATAAATTCGACTTTGTCTGCGTTTCAACGTAAATTGTTTTTACGTTTTCATGTTTATTTTTATATATGTTTCCTACGTGTATAAGTCATATCACATATAACACATTTTTGTTATTTGAACTTTCGTTCATTAACTTCAATAAATATATATTACTTACTTATTTTTATGTATGTGTTGGTATAGATTGAAGTTTTTATTTTTTTATTTTTACGTTTCAACATAATTTTATGTACATTTTTATATTTATTTTTATCTATGTTTCTTATGTATGAGTTGAGTTACATGTAATAAAATTTCATTCAAGTGTATAAATTAGGGTTAGTTATGTATCAACCTTGTATATTTATCTATCAACAAATACAATAGTTATCTAATTTTTATCAATATAATTATTAAAATTCAACTTATAAAACCCATTCCTAACATGTGACATTAAGGAACTGGTTTAGATTAAACCGTGTGTTGCAAAAACCAATCTCTATCTTACCTTTCAAAACTACGAATTACTATTTTTAATTTTTTGTCTATTGTCTAACACTTAAAAGTGTTACTCCTTTATGGATACTTGGAACACTTTTTGTCTGTTATTTGACTCCTTTAACATATATGTTTTTAAATTAAATAACCTTTTACATACTTGAAATGCCTTGTTATCTTTTATGTCAAAAAAATGTTTTATTAGAAAAACTGTGTATTTTTATACATAATCATTTAGTTTTATAATAAATTAAAAATTTTAATCATATATATAATATTTTTTTAATATCTTTGAATATGTGAAAGTAATAATACTTTTTAACAAAATTTTTGAAAAAACTTTTACATATATTTGTGTTGGAAATGAATAATGATTTGGTAGGGTCCCACTGTCCCTTCTCTGGCAAGCTTCATTCATTCCACCCACTCCACTGTTGGGTCCCAGTTTGTTCTCCCTCGATTGTTTTGTGGGCCCACTCGAAGAATAAATTAATACAAAACCGACAGATAATGGGCCGAAGACCTGGTAAAACGGGTCAAAATGGATCGAATTTATATTATCGTGAGTGGGAATAGATTAGGTAAGGCGGAATCGACTCATAATTTTTTTTTAAGAAATTTTTTTTTATTCACTTTGGATAAATATTATTTTGTAGTTATTTTAAAAAAAAAAATCCAATCATTTTATAGGTTTTTTTACTTTATTAAATTTTATATAATATTTTAATATAATACTTACAATAAATATAATAATAAATAATATCAATTTCATTAATAAACTTACATTTTAATTTTATATTTTTTAATTTGCTTATTAATTAAAACTTAATAGTTTCTTTTATTTATTTAAATTAGGTGTAAGATTCAAGTATTACATGAGTTAACTAAAAAAAATAAATATAAAGATCTATATATTTAAGAACTTTGAATTTATAAGAAAATAAAAAAAATAATAAAGTATTAAAATTGATTTTTTTATCTTTTAAACTTAAATAAATAAGAAAAATAAACCAATAAGCTTTAATTTGGTTATTTTGAAATAAGAATGTAAGTCCATTAATGAAATTGATATTTATTTATTACTATATTTATTGTAATTATTACATTAGAGTATTATGTGAAATTTATTAAAATAAAAAAAATCATAAACTGACATGTGGAAAAGAAATTAATTCAAAATAACCATAAAATTACATTTGGCAAATTGAATCAGAATGTGATATATAGTAAAAAAAAAACATTCATTTATTAGAGTAGATTAGTATTTGTTTAAATTTGAAAGATAAAAAAAAACATTTCTTTTGTAATATTAATTCAATATTTTTCTTTTTTTCTTATAAATTCAAAGTTTTTAAATATTTTGATATTTATATTTAACTTTTTTTATAAATTAACATATGTAATATATGGATCTCACAACTAGTATTAAATATACGAGATAATGACTTAAAATGGTAATATATTTTTCGATTTATACACATTTAGTCATTGAGTTTTTTTTTTTGTCCATATTTATTGTTTCAATTTGTTTAACTGTACACAATTAGTTCTTATGACCGACCACTCCAGGTAAGCGCAAAATAATGATTTAATAGGTATATTTCCCACTCTATACATATTTAGTCCTTAATATTTGTGTTCACATTTAGTCATTAATATTTTATTTTGTTACAAAATATGTCCATGTTTAATAGTACACATTCAGTACTTAGTACTTATGAACGGTTTCTTTAGTTTTTCTCACTGTATCCTATATGGGACAATCATTATTAAAGTGTTTGGGGTTGTTCATCTTTTGGTCAATTGGACGTCGATTGCTTAGTGCTTAGGTTTTGCCTTCTAAACGTCGTAACTTCTTCATATGACTAAATGTGTATAAATCGAAAAATATATTATTACTTATGATATTTATCTATCTATATATGTTCTTTATAAATGTATGTATGAACATTTTTTTTTGTAAAATCATAAGTAAAAATATATCATTTTTAACGGCAGTAATGTAAATGAAAATTGTAGTAGACTCAAATACGAACGTGTGTATAAAATCGTTAAAATTTGAGATCGTATGAAAAAGGTTACAGTGTTCAGAAGACAATACCTAAGCACCAAACAATCGAGGTCACGGTGGTCATAAGCGTGAAAAACCTCAAATACCTCATTAATGATTGTTTCATGTGAGATGTCGTGAAAAAAACCTAAAAAAATCATTCATAAGTATTGAATGTGTACAATAACAATTACTTGTTTTACAATAATAAAAAATATATTAATGATTAAATATGCATAAAAATATTAATGACTAAATGTGTACAAAATGAGAAATATATTACCCTATTAAGTCATTTTTTTCCGGTTTACCTAGAGTTGTCGGTCATCAGGACTGAATATGTACAGTTAAACAAGTTGAATGAGTAAATATGGACGAAAAATAACTCAATAGTACAAATCAAAAAAGTATATTACCTTTTAAGTCATTATCGCGTAAAATATATAAAATAATTTAGAAGGTAATATCCATATTATATATGTTTTCTTACTCGTACTATCAGATTTGTTAGCCATTTTTTTCTATTTTATTTATTTAATCTTATTAGTATATGGTATAACATTTTTTCGTTTGGATCAAAACAAATAGAATCGGGTTCCATTGACTTGTAAATCAAATCCCCTTCGTGCGTATTTCAAAGGTTTCTTCATAAATAGCCAGCAAGTTAAACGTTATTACAAATATTGCAATTAAAATATTAATATAAAACTATTTCGAAAGTACATTTTGGGCGATTTTCAGCTTAACCCTTTTTTAACTATCTTTTAAAGCTTATTCTTTTAATACATTGATGATAGAAAATTAAAAAATAATAATAACAATTAATTTGATGTCAATTTTACTTGTTTAGCCTGTGGACCTATAATAATATCTGAGATAGTTCGTGCTACCCTTTAAAGTTCAAAATATTTTGTGCAGAAAAATCTTTTTGAAAATTTTGCTAGCGTAATATAATTGGAAGATGATTTGTACACAACAATTTTTTTTTTCAAACACAGTAATTGATGCTTTAAAATGTTGTATTGTACAACTCTATAATCCATACATTGTTGTATATGGCAAAAAACTGTTGTGTACGAATCAATTCTCAATATAATTATGTCGGCGTGCTAACCTTAAAATCATGTGTGCTGACTCTCATTCTTGTTTTAGAAAAAAAAAAATCCAAATAAACTAATTATAAGATAAAATGTACCATCATCCGAGGAAAATGAAATGAAATAATTGCTAATTTAAGTATTCCTAATAGCATATTGCTTCCATAAGCAAACTCCCCAAAAGATGGACCGAGAAAATGTAAGCCTTAATTAATTGCAGATTTCATTAAAATCTCTATTATAAAACTAAGAATGAATGTTTTATTTGATTCACTTTTAGAAATTCATGTAATTTCTATTAATGATAATTTTGCATATTGTGACTCCAATTCTCTTATTTTGTATGATTGGAATAAAATTTTGCAAAAGTTAGCAATTTTAATAATTTTATATTTGATTCACCATAACTAACTTATAAATTATTTTATTTTTCTAAGTTTTTTTTTTATAATTTGTCATGTTTGGTAAATCATAAAATAACAAGAGCTGATAAGTTAACTGTTTAAAAAACTACTCATAATTTCAATTAGTTTATATAACTTTTAGAAAACCCATATATATATATATATATATTATTTATAATAAACATATTTTTTTACATACAATTTTATCTATAATTTCCAGTTAGTTTTTATTAAATGTCATTTTTATTGCTTATTAACTAACTTTTAAGATAAACTTTTAGATATAGCTTTCATATTATTACTTAAAACTGTAATATATATAAAATTGAAATATATTATTGTTTAAAAAATGTGTGTCAGTAATGTATGACATATTGCTATTCGCTAATCTTATATAGTATTTAAATTATATTTAATAAATTATGTATTTTATAAAATAAGGAGTTCGGAATTTTCCTTTGTTTTTATTTGAAATGAAAATTATGTGACTAAGCTTAGAATTCCCCAACAAGAATTCCAAGTTGAAAGAGACCACTGTTTGATAACAGAGAGTGGGAGGGAGTGCTGAATGGTGGTCGTCATTTTCACGCAGACTTTGCTCCATCTCCATTCATCATCACTGATTCCTACCCATCATCCATTTCTGAATTCTGATCGATCCATGTCTCTTCATTCTTTCAAATCTCTCTTTGTTATTTTGTGTCGGCCAACTACAGATCCATGGAGGTCATGAGCATCTTTTTTAGTTTTTTTCTTTGAAGATCATGAAGAACGCTGGTGCTGTTGCTTGAATCTGTAGTCTGTACTTTTTTTTTTTGTCACTGTTGATCGTTTCTCTGATTAAACTCCGTCACTAGCTCGATTTAGAGAAGAAATTGATCGAAGGAGGTCGAATTTGTGGTTAACGAAATGCAACGAGGCGGTTCATCGATGTATTCACCGACGTCGATTAATATGAACCCTAAATTCCCTGAGCACGAGCATCTAAAATGTCCTAGATGCGATTCGAGCAACACAAAATTTTGTTACTACAACAACTACAATCTCTCACAGCCCCGTCATTTCTGTAAGAACTGCCGTCGATATTGGACCAAAGGCGGTACTCTTCGTAACATCCCCATCGGAGGCGGCACTCGCAAAAACAAGCGATCTTCCGTCTCCAACAAACGCGGCACTAATTCTTCTCCTTCTTCTTCAAATTCGATGGCGACGACGATGGCGGTGGCGGTGGCGGTGGCGGTGGCTCCAACGCCAGTCGAGCAGAAACCAGAAGCTTCAGGGATTTACGGGTATGGTAATGACCAGATGGAAGGAGGTGGTGTAAGTTTCAGCTCGCTGTTGGGGTCGAGCCCAGGTGGACAGTTCGCAAAGTTATTAATGGATGGTCTGAATCCCAATCTGGTGGGTGGATCCAATGAAGATGGTTTGATTCGAAACCCGACTGCTGAAGAATTTGAGAGTAATTTCTTGAGCGTGAATCATCAAACTAATCAAATCGAAGAAAACGGAGGAGGAGAATCGAGCTGCTGCAATCAGGGTGATAATGGATGGCCTGATCTTTCCATTTACACACCAGGTTCGAGCTTTCGTTAGATTATAATTAAGTCTTCACACTAAATCCATACCTATATTATATTATAGATTTATAGATAGGAAAGTTTTCTTTGTTTTGCTTAAGTTTAAACTTTTGACGTTGTAGTTTATAAAATCTGAGTGGGGTTTGGTGTTTACTGGTGGATTATTCTGCCATCAAGAAAAATGTTTTTTCTAAAAACCAATGTATTTATATATTATGAAAAGATATTTGAGTAATCTTTAGTTGACAATTAGAATGTTCTTGATTTCTTTCTACAATGCGTTCTTCGACTCAAATTATGTTCTTTTTGTAGTTTTCTGAATTTTAGGAAATGAAGGTTTAACTAGACCGATTTGGGATATTAATCTGCATTTGTGCATACGGGTGTGTGGATCTAGGGAAAAAAAATCAAAACGGGTCCAATATTCTAACTTTCACCTTGGTGGATACCTACGTATTGGAAAACACCCCCGAAAGTTGGGTGAGCATTCACCGGTACCTGGTTAATTTGGCCGGAAGTACCGGTTCCTTTAGACCGGTAGGTGCACCCTCTACCGCATATTACAGATGCTGATTTGGCGTCGCAGTGTGTGCACAACTCTAACCCCCCCCCCCCCCAATGCAGTCTAAAACCTTACCACCACGGGTGATGACTTTAATGCACCATTTTTTTTTACCGTTGGAGTGTGTGAATGTGTGTTGTGTGTGATAAGGTGCGGTATGACATCCATGTGGGGTGAGGGGAAAAATATTGTGGCGATGACGTGGCAGTGTAATAGTGTGGGATGGTTATAGCCTTATAATGTTGGAAACGAACCTGTGTGACCGATTCTTAAACTTTTGGTATTGTTACTGGAACTGTCGGTTCCGGTTTTGTTATTTTTTTTTTTTTTTGCCGTTACAAAAATAAATTATAATCCACAAATAAATTACAATCAAGAAACATGGTCAAATAATATGCTGCAAATGTATTAAAAAGAATTATAATGCATAAGTAAATAGCACCATGAAACATATAGTTTGAGTGGGTAAACTGAAAGTTATAATCTATTAATTTGGACACAGGAAGGACTAGACATGCATCAAAACCTCGAAGAAAATAATGACGATATTTGACAATTTGACATCTTCAACATCTCAACGAATATAATGACAGATTTGACAATTCGACATCTTATACCAAAACGAAAATAATGATAGATTTGACAATTTGACATCATCATAGAAACGACATTAGAATAATAAGATACCTGGTTTTCAATAGGCAGTCCTGAGTATTTAAAATCAAATCTCCATGACGATATATATATATATATATATATATATATATATATATATATATATATATATATATATATATATATATATATATATATATATATATATATATATATATATATATATAATGAGAACATCAAAAAGGTTGAGAACGCGAAAACAAGGTATATTTATTTGTGAAGAAATGATAAATTTTTACGCTTTTAATTTCAATTGAAGAAAAAAAAACATATTCATGTTGATTATGCGTAAAAATTTATTATTTCTCTACAAATGAATACATGAAATCACAAATTAATATACTTGTTCTCGCATTCTCAACCTTTTAGGTGTTCTCATCTGATCATTTCCCAAACCTCAGTGAAATTCAATAACAGACTCTCTGGCAATAGACATAGGTCACATATTATTCAAACCATGTAATCCTTGTGTTGTTATACTTGCATGTGTTTTATATAATTATATTCCCGTTGTCGTGTTACAAATAAAGTTGGACGTGTTGGTATCTCTTTCTCCCATTGTATCCATGCGTTTTAAGCCGGATCCTATACGCAAATTATTGACTGGATTATACTGATTTATTCGATTGGGAGAATTTCTCCCATTATACTAATTTATTCGATTCATGGTTCACTATTCTTAACTATATTCTATCAAAATGTAGATGTGATAATTTCGAATCATTTACTTATCAATAAGCCATACTTTAATTATCTGTTACATTTAACAGTTATATGCATGGGTAAAACACTAAAACCAGAAGATCTATGTATTTTAACTATATGGAAATGGATTAAACGCCTAGATATTGTTCAAACTTCAAAGGGAATTTTCTTAATAACTAGATTAATTATTATTCAAATCATATGTTTTTTTAATCTTATCTAACACAGTAATTATTTACAAAAACTTTTAACAAAAAGTGATTCAGGTCAACGTGTATCAAAAACTAATTTTGTCATGCATATAAGCCAATTATAAATATGTAATTATTTATTAAAGTGTTTTATTAAACTAATATGGTATAATAATATTTCAAACTGTGAAAACTTAACCGGTCACGATGTCACCTCTATACAATATTCGGCATAGGAAAAAAAAGAACTCAACAAACCACAAAGCATGTTTCCAATATGGTAAAGTTTTTTAGAAAAAATATGTATATGCCTTACCAAATTCAGTTTATATAAGCTTTATATTTTTATAAATATCTTTATAGTTGATATTAAATTAAATAACTAAACATGATATAATTATATATAATTTTCTTATTTTTGAAATAAATCTAAATTAGATGTATATAGTGTCTTGTTCGTCTTTGTTTATTTTAAGTAACTAAACAAACAAACGAACATGAACATATAAGTAAACGAAATTTTTGTTTGTGTTTATTTGTTTAACAAATTACTTTGGTACGTACTCATTCGTTTATGTTTGTTAAGAATTAAAAAAAAAAAAAAAAAAAAAAAAAAAAAAAAAAAAAACGAACATACATGTATGCACAAAAACAATCATAAATGAGCAAAACATAAAAATAAATAAATAAATAAAACATAAATGAACATCATTACATCAACATTCAAATCAAGAATAGTAAACGATGACGGCAACATTTCTAATATCTTGATCGTACTAACATTAACAAAATCTCTAAGGTGCTGTTTGTTTTTTCTGAGGCAAAATGTCTGCAGTCTGCGGACCACATCTGTAGACCTCTACAGTAGAAGTGGTGGACCAAACGTCTGCAGTCTGAAAAAAGAAGACTGTTTGTTTTTTTAACATCTGCGGGCTATTAAAATAAACTGAAATCTAAATAAACTGACTTTTTAAAACTTCAAAGCGAATTTTTTATATATTTTTACGACTTTATTATAAATATATAACGAATCTAGATCAACTTTTATGTATTATTATATAAAAAATAAAAATAAAAATGGTATTAATTCATATACATATTTGATAAAAACCAACAACTTTGATTGCAAAGTTATAACTAAACATTATAATTAGTGATCAAAGAATTTGTACATAAATAGATGGAAATAAACTTCGATTTTTTCAAATAAATCTATTAAAAACGTACGATAAATATTTTCTCGAGAAATTGATGATACTCTATTAAATAAAGTTTTACAAAATTTTGGCAAAAAAATATAAGAATATATTTTGATTTTTTTTTCATATTTATATAAACAATTTCAACGACTATTATTATAATAAATTTTTATTTATAAATTTGTTAAAAATATCATGTTTGTATCATCAAATGTTTTTTTTTAAGTTTTGTAATTTTTTTTTCATATTGTTTATCATTAATAAAGTTGGAAAAAATATAAATTAAAAAAAAACTTAAAAAAAATAAAGATATATATGTTTTTTTAAGCTAGAAGATGTCTGAAAATGTTAGAAGACTCTGGTCCACATCTGCGCCAAGAAGAGGATGCGCAGACATTTTTAGGTCTGCAGTCTTCAAAAAAACAAACAGTCTGCGAAGACTAATGTCTGCGCGTGGTCTGCGCGGCGCAGACAGAAGACGTCTCGCAGATCTACAGACAAAAAACAAACACTACCTAAGTTGCAAAACTTGAACCAATCTTAAAAGGGTTTTTGACACTATAACACATCAATGTTTGGTCAATATGCACATTTAGTCACTAAAGTTTTTTATGCTCAATTGATCCTTAATGTTAGTAACTACAGACTACTTACCCCCTTATGCACCCGGTAAACGGAACAACCGATAATATTGCTTACGTGGAATAAGTTTACATTATATATGTCATTTATTTTATCCATGTAGGATTTAGAGGTCAAAATAAACACATTTATTTAGCCAGAACACTCATTCTTCGTTCTTTCTTTTTCTCATCTTACACTGAATATGAAGCACTAAACCTAGGGTTCGAAGTCGTTTTCTCCGATCGAAGTCAGTGAGCAGTCAGCCAACCCACAATATCTAGCTTGACGCCAAACCCTGATGGACTCCACCCTATAGTGGAGCTGAACTTCAAAGGTGTTTTTTCTTAGAAATCCTTTCTCGTATAACCATGGTATCAATTTCACTTTCAATGATCATGATTTTTCTATAATGACATACGGTGAATGTATCACCTTTCTCGAACGGTTCATGCAAGAAAGTATAAAGAAGTTATACTATTGTGAACCAAGTAAGCCCTTAATATCTGGGATAACTGCTATCGCTAATGATGAAGACTATGGTGGTTTCATTTTCAAGCATATGGGACAGATGGTAAAATTTGTATATATGTGGACCATGATGGTCAAGGAATAGAAGATTGGTTTGGTTCTGAAATAGAAGAGGAGGATGGAGATGATTCTTGCATTGATGGTGGTGAGCATGAGGACAAAATTGATAATCTAACAAATGTGGATGTGGACTTTAATGAGGACATAGTCACTATGAATAGGAAAAAGGGTGATGAATTTCTAAATAGTTTATGTGGCGAAGAGGAAGAGGGAAATGATAACAACATAGATGATGATGATGGGCATGAAGAGGATGCCAATGTAACTCAACAACATTCCATTTTTAATGAGTTAGTTCCATGGAAAATGCAGATCCTAATACTTGGTATGAGGTTCAAAGATCCATCTCAATTAAAATCAATGTTATGCAACTATGCTGTTGCGAATGGGTACCAACTTTGCTTTGAGAAAAATGATAGGAAAAGATTGTTGGTTAAGTGTTGCAAGGGTGAGTGCACATTCAGGTTGTGGGCATCTTGGATGAGTGATGAATCAAGCTTCAAAATTAAGTCTTTAAAGCCAGTCCACAAATGTGCAAGGAACTACGTTAGGGTCCATGGTCACTTAGAAAAAAGATGAGTGTTAGAAAGCTAAGAATAGTTGTGTCACAGAAGTTTGGTATTCATGTTAGTGTTGGTCAATGTAGAAGAGCTAAGAAATATGCACTCCAACTAATAGATGGTACCCTAGTTCAACATTATGCAAAGTTATGGTCGTATGCAGAATAGATTATGAGATCAAATCCAGGTAGCACTGTGAAGCTTGATGTAAATCATATGCCAGATGGGAAGAACTACTTTAGTAAGTTCTATGTTTGCTTTGATGCATTGAAGAAAGGGTAGAACGAGGGATGTAGGAAGATAATAGGTTTAGATGGTTGTTTCCTTAAAGGGATCTGCAAAGGGGAGTTGTTATGTGTTGTTGGAAGGGATGCAAACAATGGGATTTATCCTATTGCATGGGCAGTAGTATGTGTAGAGAATAAGTAAAATTGGAGGTGGTTTTTGTATTTACTCATTGATGACTTGGGACTTAACTTGGGCTATGGATACAGTGTAATATCGGATCAACACAAGGTAATTTAATTGTTTATAATCAATTTTCCTATCTATTTGCATCCTTATTCACTATATTTGGAATTTGCTAACAGGGTTTGATTGAGGCTGTGAAATAACTCATTCCATATGTAGAGCATAAGCAGTGTGCCAAGCATATTAGCCAAAACCTTAGGAAAAGGTATAGTGGTGCCCAATATGAAAGCATATTCTAAAAGGCATGTAAAGCAACAAAAGAGGTAGAATTTAAGGTTGCGATGAAAGAGCTTGAAGTGCTAGACCCAAGTGTTCACCAGTATCTGATGGACAAAGACCCCAAAACATGGTCAATGGCCTATTTCCAACCAAGAAGATGTTGTGATGCTGTGGAGAATGGAATGTCAGAAAGTTTTAATGTTGTGATTGTAGATGCTAGGAAGAAACCAATTATCACCATGCTAGAGGATTTGAGGATGTATATGATGGAGAAGGTGTTTAAGAAGAAATGCAAGGGTCTAATATAGGGAAACCAAATTTGTCCAACAATTATAGAAATAGTGAATGACATTAAGAAGGGTCTAAGACATTACCAAGTCTTACCTAGTGGACTAAATCAGTTTGAAGTAAGAGGAACTACAGATGCTTATGAAGTGGATCTTGAAGAAAGAACTTGCTCATGTAGGCTTTGGTAGCTTAATGAAATCGGTTGTGTCAATTCTGTTGCAACTATTAGTTTTATGAATAAGGATGTAGAGTCATATGTAGACAAAATGTTTAGTAGCATCACTTACATGAAGGCATATAAGTTTAGGTTAGCACCAATGGATGGAAGTAATTTGTGGCCTACAACTGATTACACCGCACCTTTACCTCATGTTCGTAGAACTATGCCTGGGAGACCTGCAACTAAAAGGAAAAGGGATGCAACAGAAAACCCAAACCAATCAAGTAAAAAAATCAAAGAAAACTACCCAAACACAAAACAAAGGTAAGGAGCATGTGAAGGTATCCAAGGCTGGGAAAAAACAAAAATGTAGCCTTTGTAAGATTGAAGGACACAACAAAAGAGCTTGTGATTTAACAAGGCCTCCTAAAACCAAAGCTAGTAGAAAAACAAAACAGGTAAATAAGTATTTAAATGGTTAATCTTTACAATTTCTTTTTAAATTTCTAATAATGCTTCATATTAGTCAATCAGGGTGTAGCTGAAGCACTCAATGAGGATGATGAAGGTAATCAAGCTAATGCAATGAATGAAGGTGATGAAGTGAATGAGGGTGATCAAGCAGCAAATGATGATGGAGGAGCAGTAAATGATGGTGAAGAAGCAGTCAATGAGGTGCATTTACAACAAGACTATGATGAGGTGGAACTCACTCCTTTGGAGTTTGATGCATCAGCAAATGGAGAACTTACTTAGGTTCATGTGCAAGAACATGAGGCTAGAGAAACACCACTTGCAACCCTATTGAAGAAAATCAGGAGAAAGAAATCTGAAAGGATTATCAAGTTGAAGTTGGGCAAGAAAGTTGGTGGTGCAGGTGCACCTGGGAATTCAGAAGCTAAACATGTTACTGTATAATAACTTTTAATTGTTGGTTTATGTGATATGGACATGGTATGTAGTGTGAAATGATCTGTTTTGGTGTATTTTTGCTGTTTTTATGAAACTGCTATTAACTATGCTAGTTTGTATGAAACTATGTTGGTTTATGTGATGTGTATATTGTGTTACTTAAGTTGATTGTTATTTTGAGCTTTTTGTTGTGTTAATTTGAAGTTGCATTCATGGCAAGGACTTGTGTGGTTAAACTGCATGGCAAGGGAATATATTTGCATATATAGATAATTTAAAATTTAAAATTATGATTGATTATGTCCTTATATACCACGCGTGGTCAGTGGTCCATATACCCTTACCAACCCTTACTTTTCCATATATACCCCTACACAGAACTCTAAACACAATGCACTTTTAAATGGACCAAGTGAGTTCCTTATGGCCAACAATGTGGTACCCACACTTTAATTTTTAAAAGGAGCACATGCATATTATAAAATTTAGCAAGGTATATCATAACTAAGATCTTTCATATCAATCATTGAATCAACACAAAGTCATTACAATTGCTCCCATGTACTGCCATCCCACTACATCTACATTCCATTACATCTAGCATCCCATACACACACTGATCAAACAAGCATTCAACCAAAAACCTGACTATACATTACAACTAGGATCTAACCATGACCATGTACCCATACACCCATGCACCCATACACTTCCCAAAAAAGCAAATAACTTTTAACATCCACCCATACACTTTCCAAAAAAAACTGGTTGGAATTATATACCATCAACCATAAATACCTATTTGATCTGCTGCACTTTTCAAGTCCATTTCAACCACATGGCAATGACTACAATTACCATAACAAAGATCCCACACTTCAACATTCTGTTTTGCTTCATGAACTCCATGAATTGTGTCTCAAACACTTGCTTATATGCTTCCATAGCTTGCTGCAGCTTAACTAACTTCTTTTGAACCTTCGAAACTTCACTAAACTCTTCTTTCCTTTTCAACTCAAACCTCATCTTGTGAAGTTGTTCTGTGTAGTAACCCTCCTCCATTTCTTTGTCTTTCCACATATAGAACTTGCATTTTGGACCTTCATCTGACTGATTAAAAGGGAAAACCAGAGTTAGGGTTAGGGTTGCAATTAATGATAATGTGTACATTTCGAGCTCAAAATAACAAATACAGTGTAAGTAAACAAAAGGAATACTCACCAAAGAGTTTTTGCATTTCCAAAACCTGCGAGCTACATTATTGTCGGTCCAAGCAGTCCTTTCCACGCTTATTGCATCTTGACAATCACAAGGTGGACAGGGGACATCACCACGAAGGTTTCCGACACGCAGGAGGTTGATTGATCGACTGGAAGAGGCAGACATTGTTCTAGTTAAATCGATTGAGTGTGAGTATCGGGAGGGAGGCACTAACCTAATTTGGGGTAACAATGTATCCTCGATGGTTCAATTAAGGAAGGTTTGCACGTTAAAGATGTCATGGTCAAATGATTGTCCACATAAGCCAATACACGTCAGCGATGACCCTTAAATCGGTAATATTTGCTCTCATTCCTTTAATTAGCCGGTAGTTACTAACATTAAGGATCAATTGAGCACAAAAAAAACTTTAGTGATTAAATGTGCAAATTGACCAAACATTGACGTGCTACAGTGTCAAAGCCCCATCTTAAAAGCTTCACTTTCACTTTAATTAGTTGTATAAGATTATAAAATATAATATAACAAATTGAACATTTACGAAGATAACACTTGTATTTTAGGATAGAAATTTTGTTTTTTTGTTAAAAGAAATTAAAAAATCAAAGTGTTCAATATGATTAGAAGATGAAACTTAAGGTTAACAGAAAATTTAAGTCAGGAGGTTTACATTTGCCAATTTCATGAAATTTGGATTTAACCTTGTATTAGCATAGGTGAGACCAATGTGTTAAGAAACTTATTCTGTTTATTTTTTTATAGAAAAAATAGGTTTTAGAGGTTAATTAGGGTTATTAGTGTGAAACTTAAGGACTATAAGTGCTAAAACTCAACTTTAAAACATAACACTCATTTCCCTCCTTCACTTCTCCCTTCTCCATGTTGAAGGAGATTGTTGGATGGTTGTTGTGTGGCCATTTCTAAAGGGATTTTATGAGTGTTTTTTTAAATGACTTGTTAATTTATTGATTTTTTAAAAAGTCAATAAGTTAAAAAGATGTTTGGTAAAGATTAACTTTTTAGACAAAAAATGATTTTTTTAAAGTCAGGAATACTTAACTTTTCCAAAAATCAATAAGGAGTTTCAAAATCACTCTCAAACACGCCCTAAGCTAAGAAGGAATATTGAGGTCATTTGGAAGTGTATTTGAAGGATTCAAGCTAGGATTATCATTTAAAACAATAGAGGGTATAATATCTAGCCTTTTTCTTTTGGAATTCGACCTAAGGCCTGGGGATTTTCCCTAAACCCGAAATTACTTGATGTTTAGGAGATTTTAGATGAAATTCCGGTTAATTTCAATCATTAGATCAACAATAGTACAATACAACTTCAGTATACTTCTACATTGCTTAATTTAATCTAGTGTCATTTCGAATCTTCGAACCCTTTGTCATGGTGGATTTTGATGTTGAACCTTCTTATGTGAGATGATGCTAATTCCAACCTTGTTTTAAGGTTTCTAAACTCCTTTAGATCAAATGAATTCATCGTATAGATGTTATTTCACTTGGATAGACATGTTTGTATGGTAGCAATAGAAGCTTAATTCATAAACAAAAGATATAAAAAAAACATACTCATACAAAAAATTTATTTTGTCATGATGTAGGTATATCTAAAGTTACCTAGCACAACATTATTTTCTGGTCTTTAAACCAAAAAATTAACTGTAATCAATATACCCAATACATTGATCAAATACTAATAATAACTTATTGACAAACAATGGTTTGTCTTTGGACTACAGTAGTTTACATGATGCCACTTCATAATTATTAAAAATCTACTATTGCAAACACAATGTTATTAAGCCAAACTAAGGCTTCATTTGTGTCTAGCATTGTTTGTATCAATAATAATTATACACAATAAATGTTACTTTGACAACATTTATTGATTAATTTAACTAAAACTAATAAATAGGACAATGTAATAAAATATTTTGAAAAACCATTTATAAATGTCCAATAAATTTGTCAAATTTAACTAGAGTCCTCATCGAACTTGATTAACCCTTAACTTTTACCAAATCAAAATTATATAACTATTCATGACTCAAGTCATAAAATGTCCCATAAACAATTGTTATAATTGATCATAAACTATCAAAAATAATGTAAAATAACATACTACAGAATTTATCACTTAAAAAACTATGTTCCTTAATTTCTAGAGCTATTATTTGGTGATGGGATCATAATTGCCCCCAAATAGAAGAGCAATTAATGATAGTTATTGGCCGATTTATTATGTTGAGACGGGGAGTTTGATTGTTTCGTGATGTGGAGTTTGATTGACCATAATACTCTTAAACCTCATCAAGTATGAACATCAAACAAATTCACTATCTATATACTGTTTTTTTTGTAAGTATAAACAATATTTAACTCAACAAATATAGTAGCAAATGTATCAAACAACCAAATTACATGTAAAAATCATGTATTCCAATAATCAAATTACACAAACACCAAAATGGGAAAATGTTACATGGCAATGGGCGGGCCTTGTACATACAAATGTAAGCCATATGCCAATCACCTGCAACAATAAATAACTAGTATTATTAAGATTGTATAAATATTTTATATATATATATATATATATATATATATATATACACACACACATAAAGTGATAAAACTACTATTAAATTAATTATTGAAAATCCAAACTACAGTATCTTTCACAATCATGGATGATTGAAGCATGAACCTCCTCCAGATAGTTTTGTTATATCTTCTTCCCTATGTGGAATTGGATTATCATCATCAAATTCTATCCATTTCCCTTTACCGAAATTCATAATTAGGAACATTTTGTCAAATTCAACTATCATAAACCATTTTTTTTATTTAAAAAAAAGTACAAAAGAGTATGAAAGAATGACCATTTTCTTGTTTGAGCCACGCGACATAATGACCTGAATCAGCACTTCTGCCTTTATGAGTCAACACAGCCACCAAATCATACACTCCGGTCAACCGATTTTTCTTCTCAGATAATCCCTGATTCAACATTTATAAAACAAAATTAAAAAATAAAAACAATGCAACTTTTGTTATATCTGTTCATGTAGGCCCCGTTTGTACTGTGTTTGGAGTGCATTGAACCAAGACTGAAATTGATAACAATGGGACAAAAACTTGCAACTTTTTGTGCCCCATTAAAAAACATGGGACCTCTGGTCAGTGGAAAAAGACATGAATGCCCTTCAATTTAACAAAATTACCATACTGACCTCTGCATCAGGCATCTTAACATCATTGTCTACTGCGATGGAGCTCTTTTCTTTGAGTTTTAAACCAGCCTTCCTACCTTCCTCATATCTTAACATCTAGAAAATTAAAGCTAAAAATCCAAATGAGAAACAAAAACACAAATAAATAAATATACATAAATAGCAATTTATTTACAATTCTTAAACTATGTATATACACAGAATAACAATATGTAACAAATAAAGTATGTTACTCATATTGGTAGCAAAATGCAAAGTAATGTTGCTACTTGCTATTATTAGTAAAAAATATATATGCAAGTATGTTGCTATTATCAATTATGGATAACATTTATGAAGGGTAAAATTTATAAACTTGTCGAGGAACTTCCAAATGTTTGCGAAGATTGTCAGAACAAAGATCAAAAATGTCCAACTCCAATGGATAATCCACTTTCTGAAATATTCCAGAAAATCCATAATCAATAAATTTTGATTATATGAAAAGTTAATGAATGATTGATATATTTGTTACCCTCAAGATCTTTGCCTTCTGATTAGATTCCCTTTTCCAGATATATCGAACAAACTGAATAGTCAGGTACCTTGAAACAAAAGAATCGTTTATAATACAGTTTTAAAGTTACATCCTTCATAAGTTTATAATATAATATATATAATTAATAGAGTTTTTACTTTGGCAAGCCATTAATGTGTGAATCTTTTAAATAAACTGCACTCTGTCCTAAAGTTGGGGAAACTTTTTCCAGCTCTGACTTCAGCCCCTCTAAAGATCGAATATGATATGTTTATGGAAATTTACACTTCACACCCCTTAGATTTTGATGATCATTAAACAAGCCCCTACACTTATACAAAATAGAACTTACATGTTTCAGGCCCTCGTGCAAATTATTCACTTCATGTGATATGTGACATTTAAGAGAATGAACTGATTCTGTTTCTGAATTTTCTTCACCACTTTCTGCACAATGCACCCTACATATGCACCAAAACAAATATGTAATTATGGTAGAAACTTGTTTACAAAAATCATGAGAGAAAACTTTAATATAAAATGGACCCAAAAGATACCTGCTTACTAGGGCAATTCCAAAAAGTTCCTTCACTGTATCAAGTTTCTCACTGCAATTCCATTAGGATAGAGGTTATTAACTTTCTAAATCATTTAAACTATGAAGTTTATTATTGTCTGCAGAAAATAATGAATGAAAATGACTCAAAATACCTGGAACTTGGTCTTCTAAGGGCCTGGGATAGAGTATACAAAATTTGTGTCCAGCATTCTTCAGCATCCTGATGTAATCAAAACTCGTGTCAAAAATGTAAAATAAAAACTTTTGAGTAATAAATGTGATAGAAATAATGAATGAAAATAAAAGAAACCTGTCGCATAAAGGACCCATTATGCAGCTGGCCAAACTGAGGATATTTTTTCCACAATACCTATGAAATTATAACATATATAACTTCATTACATAATGTTAATTACATATTTATTGTATTGGAACAAAAATAACAATTCTAAGAGTTATTGAGAAAAAATAGTACCATCCAGAACTACATTGGTGGAACTGGCTTAACATTTTTATCAAGCTCAATAAACAAGTCTCTTGTTGCAATACTCAAAAGATGAGAAGACTTATCTAAATCATTGCTTCTTCCAGATTAAGGATACCTGAGCAATAAATCAGTGTTCAAAAACATTCAATGGATTAAAATACAATTGAATATTACTAACACAAAAAGAAATAAGAAATCTCACAAAATTAATGCAGATTTGAGCTCAAGAACCGAATGCAAGCATTGGACTGTGGAGTTCATGTAGCAGGTATTTCCCAGATTGAATAATCCAGCAAAATGACCCAAATAAAACATTATTGAGAAATTGGCAATAAAATTCAATCTGTAACTTTAAGAGAATTTGAAAATAAGTCAAGAACCCTACCACAGCAACTACTTGTTCTTCTTCTGGAAGGTCTACCATAAAAACTGGATTCTTTTCAGGGGCGTTTGCAATCTCATCTGTTGTTCCCATCATCATCAACCTTTGCCCTTATATCATGTAATAAAGCAATGCCAATGGTTATTGGTTACCAATTACCACTAAAGATCAATTCATGGAAAGAATAGAATCTTGTAGAAACGTTTTATTTACCTCTTTCACCCCCCATTTTTGACCAGTCGGAGTCATCCTAATCATGAAAACAAGAAATAGAGAAATTAGTTGAATCGTGTCAAGAAACAATAGCTATAGAAGAATGTGATTACCTTTAATAATCCACCTTTCATCACTATCTTTTGCCTTTCAGGTGGAACTCCTGTGAGGTCATATAATTGACATTTGAAGACGTATGGAGGTTAAGTTGTATCTATCTCCACATCCCGATATAACTCTTTTTGCCATTTTACATTGACTGTAAATAAGATAAAGAGTAGTGTAAAGTGTAAACAACGTAATCACAAACGAGCAATTGATTATCTAATTGTCACAATAATCACTTTAAAACCACCCATCCAAACACCCTTTGATAAATACTCGCTTTTTTTAAGTTAAAGCATAAGAAAATCAAGATTGGCTCCTTAAATTCAATCCACGAAAGACAAAAACTACATGAATATACCATGTTGAGCCCTAAATACATAAAATAGTAAACAAGAGATTAAATCAACGTAACCGATGATCTCAACTTACTAGCAGTAAGTTGTATTTTTTTGTAAGAATAAAGAAAATTCGAGTGAATAAACAGTGATTTGATCATGAATCAGCAAGCAAAAGGTTAATTCACCTGTGGGCATAGTTAGACGGACTTTTCGACTGTTGGATTGGATCGATTGAATGGGGGAAAACCAAGAGTTATGTGTTGTTTTGTTGGCTTGGAGGAAAGGGCTAAGATAAACGATGAAGCAAGTTAAATCTTTGAGGACAAGAAATGCAAATGTCCAATTGTCCACGGAAGAGTATTACGTGAAGGAATGGCGGATGGTGGAGGGAAGAAGGGGCACCGTTTTTGGGTTGATTTGGTTGTTTGACCACTCGGACTCGGGTCGGGTGTGCTCGGGTTTAAAGAGCTATACCGGGTTTAAAGAGCTATACCGTTTTTGGGTTGATTTGGTTGTTTGACCACTCGCTAGGCTCGCTATCCATTGTGGAAAACCGCCCCCTAGCGCTCACTAGAGGTGTCGCTGCCTCCAACTTGTTGCAACCTTGGCAACAAGAGAAAGTATGAGAGGAAAGAGAAATTTGAAAAGAAAATAATGATTCTGATCGGTTCTTTTCTTTTTGTGTTTTTCTTCTTCCTTTTTTTTTAAATCAATGGATTTTCACTGGCTCTTTTTCATTTGATTTTTTTTTCTAAAATAAGTGTATATGAAGCTTAGATGGCAGATAAAATATGATATGAAAAGATGTTAAACATATTATAATTTCTTATAGCTTAAGCTTGAGCAAACAATCAGCAAATAAGATTATGTACTTTGGTCGTAAGAAAATCCATAATGATTAACCATTTTTAAGATTTTTATTTATAATCATATGTTAACATCTTGTTTTTGAGGCATAAATATCATATTATATTTATGTAAAACAAAAAAACAATAAATTATATATATATATATATATATATATATATATATATATATGTGATAAAATAAAATACTTATAAAATATTTAATAAATAAATTTATTCAATAAATAATAAAAACATAAAGCTTAAATATAATTAGGAAAGTCATGGAGTGTTGAGGGGTAAAGTGGAAGCATCACCCAATTTGTTTTATTTTATATTATACATTTTTTTATTTAAAAAAAAACTTATAATAATGATAAGGTTATTTATTTCTGATTTGTCCTAAACTTTTGAGGATATTTAATTATTCAAGACCGTCTTAAGGAAAGTAACAAACTATATATGAATGGTGAATTTTAATTATATAAAATACAATTTCAAAAAATAAACATACATTAAAGAAAACATTTTAATAGCTAAATATGATATCATTAATCTTTACAAAATTAGAGATGCTCTAATGAATTTGAAGAGACGTCTTTGAAAGTCAAAAAGAATTCTTGATCTCGAGTTTATTGGCAAGATGAAAAAAGAGAAAGAAATTGAGATAATTTTCTTTTTCTAAACCTTTGCCTAAGGTCGGTCGGTGTACCGTGTACCACACATTGAGGTATAGTGTGGTATGCAGTAAACACCGTCCCGAACCTCCAAACAAAAGTGTTGTGTACACATTGAGGTATAGTGTGGTATGCAGTAAACACCACACCGAACACCCAAACAAAAGTGTGGTGTACGTTTTGTGTGTTACAGTTTTACCACATGGGAAAAAAACCACATCATTCAATTGTAGTACTTTGTGCATAAAAATATGTATTGTGGTGGGTATGGTATGGCACTCAATAGTTTTATAGCATAGCAAAAGATGACGTGACAATAAAAAATATGGTAAGTGTGGTATGACACCCACCAGCCTAAATGTGAGAAATTTTTAATAGGGGAAATAAACACTGAGTCAAATTTTAGGTGTCAAAAGGTCGTCGTCTAAACTTTAACATATTTTGTATAATAAAGTTATAATCATGGTCGAAAAAATCTAGATTTTGATTTTTATATCTTATGAGAAGCCCAACGGTAAGGAATGACTCTTAATATAAGAGGTCATGAGTTCAAGTTTCAACGGAAACATAGATGATTAGAAATATGTTAATTAGTTTGTCGTTTAAAAAAAATCACAATCATCCTACAACCAATTCCAAAGTAAAATTTATATTGAAATTTTAAGTTCTCAGGATCATCAGAGTTTATCCCCGACCTTATCGCACCTCATTAACCTTTATTTTGATCGTTAAGTTTTAAGTGCACTTAAACACTATAAATTTGTCATTTATGCTCACAAAAGACAAACCCATGCACAAAGTCTAAGAAAACTATTCATCCAAATCAAATTCGTCCTGAGCATTGCACACCACAGGAAGGCTCACAAAGCAGCACAGCTAGATCCATTCATCTTGCATTAGATAGAGCACCGGGACACACATGTTAGTCCATTTGTGATCTTCTGTCATTACTCATTAGTTCTACATGATGACAATAATATATATTTTTTTTCGGTTAAGATGTTTTCTTTCTAATTCTTGCGGTTTTCATCCACTGGAATTATGTTACTGCTTAAGAACTTAAAGTTGATTCCAGTACCGATGTCTTAATCAACATAAAGTTATAAATGGACACTACACAAACACCACCTTTAACGCAAATTTAGAGACTAGTTCATTTTAGTAGGATCTTTAAAATCTGGAACCGATCTTACAATCACAATCTTGCAAAACGTTCTTTAAGTTTCCTTTAAATACGATTGTTTAAGTTTCCTCTTTTTCAACTTGAAAAATATTACATGTCTGATGCCTCTAAGTAGCTCTCACTGAGGAGTCTGATTTCTCAGCTAGATAGTGCTCAAGCATGTCATCTTCATCATCTGCAACCAATAAAGATAGTATTTTATTATTCCATTAGATGTGATCAAATGTAACTACAAGTCAAAAAAGAAAAAAAATAATAATAATAACCTTCAAAGTCATCCTCATCATCAAAATCAAAATCTTCATCTTCTTCTTCAGATCCATCTTCCATTGGTACTGCACCTTTCTGCCAAGAATAATAACCATTTAACCAATTTTCCTTTTTAGATTAAATCAGCACTGAAAACCTTACCACAGAAGAAGCTCTTCCACTTTCAAACCACTGTCTGCCTGAGAGTCTCTTTTCTTTGGGTGCTGAAAGTGCTGATTCTGGCATCAGCCTGGAAGTAGAAACAACAAGCTTATTTTTTAGATCATGAAAATTAAAAATAGAATGTATTTAAACTTCCAAGTGTTTGGAAATTGCATTAGAGAAGTAAGTTACTTGGCTCTTTGAAGGGCCAATTCTGCTTCAAATCTCTCTCTCCATGCCACAAATGTATCAATGGTCACAGGTTCTCCATGAGGCACAATTACCTATAAACCCCCAAATCCATTTTCATCAAATCAAACCTTAATAACAAATTCAATTTCAATTCATGACAATTGACATGCCTCATCCTTTTCTGAAACCTCCTCTTCATCATCATCATTGTCAGCATCTTGAGCATATAATTCAGAAAGCCAATCCTTAGCTGAGCTGACTAGAGTGTAGATCATAGACATTCCAAGATTCTCTGATGCCTGAATATATCTCCACAACAACAAAGCTTTCTTTAGGGTTTTGGGTCTCAACTGAGTTTTAATGCAAGTTGGAACATTGTAATATACTGATGAAAAACATAAGACGAAACAATTAAATGAAACATGATCTCTTTTACCTCTTGTTCAAGCTTTTCTTTCAATACTTTGAGATCCGAGGTGTGAATTCCTCTTATACTGATGAAAACCATAACAAGGGAGGATTAATTAATTAATTAATTACAACATAAAATGTGAATCTTAGAGTTCATCATAGAATATGAGCGTGCAAATTACATCATCATATAGCCAAATGAAACTAGTGCATGTTTTGAAATGCTATAGTAAATCACCTTTTCACATTTAACAGTGGTATTTCATCTGGATATTTTTCTGTATGTGAGAATATTAACCCCAACTGAACTGCAACAAAATTTAGCAAAAAACCAACATTATTAAGAAATTTAAGCCTCCTCAAGCTGTAATCTTTAACAACAAAATGACAGATAAAAACCTGGAGTGCTAAAAGATTCATCATTCTCATCATCCTGCAAAAAACAAAGCAACATACTCAATGCTAGTACAAGGTTTTCTGTGTAAATTAATGTGTTTAATTTGATTCCACATAATGTGTTCTTTATTTGTGAATTAGTGGTACTTACTATGAGATCTCATCATGAAAAAGAAGAAGGCTGACTAAATAATGTAATGAAATTGGTTACCTGTGGAGACAAAGTAATTTGGAAACATCGTTTTGAAGTGTTCAATCCACTTTCACTCGGGTGGATTTCTGGCAAATACATTAAAACAAAATGCTTGTCACGAGTTTGAATTTGGAAGTTAAATATAAGAAACCTAGAAAGACCAAAATGAATGTCAAGTATTATTTATAGTGCAAACCTTGAAACTCATCCATAAGAATGGCTTCTAAAGCTTCGATTTCCATCTCCTGCTCCTGCACATGGTCTGTTGTGAACAATTCAGTGAACAGGGATTTCATATCCTTTCCTTGTTAATCCAAAATTCATGCTGACAAACATTGGCCTTTTACACAGTTCAATTATGCAGTAAGGCTGCTTAAATATGATTATCCCACATTCCAAAATCCAAATGACTTGAATTCCTTAATATCATGATTCCATCACACTTAATCTATTCTACAGGCTCCTCTTAGATCTAATCGGACTACCCATTTCAACTATGAGCACGCCATGCACAAAATAAAGTTCCCACATTCCAAGTAATAACGTATTAAGCTGTAAGATAGCAAAAATATCCCCAAATCAACTCTACCTCGATTGGATTACAATCATATTCTATAGATACACCGATACGTATAAGCAATTACTAACCTAACTAAACTCTAGATAGAACTTATACTGTTTTCCAACACAAAGCATCAAATCTTCAACATAAATCGTATAGAGTTTCACAAAGATTCATCGATAATCGAATACCTGTCATTTCTGCGGTTGTGATGTCCCGATTATACTTTATCTTCCGAAATTCGTACAACGTGTCTTCCGATTCAGTCACGGCCACTCTCTCCGTCAATAGCTCTTTAAAAACCTAGGCCAGTAATCAAAAACACAGTACGACTTGGGTCTTGGGTTTTATTCGAGTGTTTTAGTACGTATTGTAGTTAGCGTAGGATCGCGTTATATCACCGTTACCGAGCCGTTTCCATCAACAGACAACGATAGAGTATCCGGGGGGCTTCGGATTTTGCTTTAAGGGTAAATTATGTCAGAAAGCGTGTTTAGTTTCTATTTTCAAAAATTAATTCGGATTTTTCTTCGTTTTGTTTAAACTTGCATGT